CCCGTGCGCCCACAGCGCTCACCGCTGCAGCTCCCGGAGCCGCTCCACCTCCTGCTCCTTCTCCTGCACGGCGGCGGCCAGGCGCTGCTGGTGCTGGGCCGTGAGCTCGGCGCGGGCCTGCTCGGCCTCCTGGCGGTGCGACAGGAGCTGGGCCGACAGCTCCTCGTTCTCTCTCCGGAGCCGCTCCTCCCGCTGCTGGTAGGACGTCTCCAGCATCTTGACACGGCCCCTGCCAACAGAACGCCACCTGAAGGGCCTCCCGGGACCCTCGGAGAGGACGTGAGGCCGGGAGCGGGGCCGTGCCGTGCGCACCTGTGCGCGCCCTCGATGAGCTCCAGGTCTGCCTGGTGCCGCTGCTGCAGGCCCTCCAGCAGCAGCTTGTGCTGGGTCCGCTCCAGCTCCAGCTTCCGCACCTGGAGAGAGAGCGGGTCCCTCGCACCTGTGTCTCCTGGGGAGGCCTCCGCCCACTGCCCCTGCCTCGCGGCCCTCACCTGCGCCTCCAGCTCTGCCAGCCGGGCCTGGCTCTGCAGCAGCTCAGCCTGGAGCTGGGTGGGGCCGCCCTGAGGCTGCACGTGGGCCGCCAGGAGCTGCTGTTGGTATTCTGCGCCCAGGAGCACGCTCCGAGCCAGGGACTCTGGGAGCAAGGGCTGCAGGAAGGGTAGAGAGGTGTGCCTGTCAGGAAGGGACGGTGTGCGGCTGGGCTCAGCTCCCGCCCAGCCCTGCCCCTGCACAAGGCCTTGGAGGGTCACGGTCGCTGCGGCTGAGTGGTCAGCAGTGCATTCCCCTCTTAGGTCTGATCAGGAAAACACGCCCCCCTTCCCCTCCCCAGGGCGGTCTCCAGCTTCCGAGAGAAACAGCCAGGGCCCAGAGGCTCAGCTGTGACAGAAGCTTCCGTCGGGCCACATGGGACACGCACCTGGCTCCTGCAAGCTGCCCCTCACCACTGTGTCCTGGGCCCAGGTGTCAGAGGTGACAGCCACCGGGGAAAGTTACAGGAGCAGGGGGAGGGGACGGCAGGGTGGAGGAGGCTTTCCCGACGGATCAGGGACTCCGCCAGCCCCCAGCCCGCTCCTGACGGGGCTGCCTGTCCAGGTCTGCCTGGGAGTGGTGTGAGATTAAATGTCCCGGAAAGTGCTGGTGGGGGACACTGCGGGAGCTGGCTGATGTCACCCTGCACATGGCCGACCAGGAAGCCAGGTCCGACAGCCGCGCTGCCTCTGAGCGCAGGATTGCTCCCTGGGCCCCAGACCCACCTGCACGGGCAGAGAGAGTCCTGCGGGTTCCTGGGAGTTCGGGAAGACACCCGCAGGCCCTGGAACAGCAGGGCAGGGAATGAGCAGCAGCCCTAAGGTGCCCAGGGCCACTCATCCGCAGGGTTCCCCGGACGGCTCAAAGCGCCTCCTCCTCCCCGGGGCTACACCCCCAAACAAAGCAGAAAACAAACTGTACCAGGGAGCTCTCCGGAGGCTGCTCCCCTTTTCGGGTCACCTGCTGGCAGGGCCGAGGGAGCCTGGCTCCGAGCCACAGGGGACCTGAGGACACAGGGAGAGGCGGGTGAGCCATGGCGCTCTGTCGGGACGTGGAGAGGGGACCAGGAGGAGGAGGCTCCAGGTGCAAGGTGCGCAGGGAAGGCAGGCGCCGGGGGCTCACTAAGGGAAGGCGGGCGCCGGGTGTTCACTAAGGGAAGGCGGGCGCCGGGTGTTCACTAAGGGAAGGCGGGCGCCGGGGGTTCACTGAGGTTAGGCGGGCGCCGGGTGTTCACTGAGGTTAGGCGGGCGCCAGGGGCTCACTAAGGGAAGGCGGGCACCGGGGGTTCACCGAGGTTAGGCGGGCGCCGGGGGTTCACTAAGGGAAGGCGGGCGCCGGGGGTTCACTGAGGGAAGGCGGGCACCGGGTGTTCACTGAGGGAAGGCGGGCGCCGGGGGTTCACTGAGGGAAGGTGGGCGCCGGGGGTTCACTGAGGGAAGGCAGGCGCCGGGGGTTCACTGAGGGAAGGCAGGCGCCGGGGGCTCACTGAGGGAAGGCGGGCGCCGGGGGTTCGCTAAGGGAAGGCGGGCGCCGGGGGTTCGCTAAGGGAAGGCGGGCGCCGGGGGTTCACTGAGGGAAGGCGGGCGCCGGGGGTTCACTGAGGGAAGGCAGGCACCAGGAATTCGCTAAGCCTGCAGGCCCCACTGCTGCCCCAGGAGAAGGGGCTTGGCCCCGGACAGCTGTCTCATCAGTCGTGCTGGTACAGGGTGAACGCCACACACCCAGGCCGTGGCGGGGGCCCAGCACAGCCGCCCCACTGTCACACTCACGCTGTGCCTCGGCTGTGCACGGACGCTGCTACATCAGGCTTGGCGGCTGGCGTTTCTTGTGCTGCTCCCGAGGTCCCGCCAGCAGCTCCTTGCTCCACCCCTTGAGTGCTGGGGACAGCTTGGCTAGGAGAGTGAGCGTCCGGGTTAGGCGGGATGGAGATGGCCTGGGCGGGCTCCTGCCTGGATCCAGTTCCTGCCTGCACTCAGCCCTCCTCTGGTCCCACCACCTGGTCAGAGGCTACTGTCCTCCCAGCCTGAGCTCCTGGGATCTGCGGGCGGCCCTTCCCTGCCAGCATGCACTGTGCTCCAGAAAACAGACGCTGTCCAAGGACTGAGCAGAGATGTCACGTACACTGAGTTCAAGCTCAGAGCCTCGTGGTCGTCCACTCTTCCCTCAGCTCTAGGTTAGGCTCTCCCTGGTCTCACCACACCCAGGGGCCCTTGGGACTCCTCTCTGGCCTCTTCTTCCCACCTCCCTTCCTGGCTGCCGGGCAGTGGGGGGAGTAGGCTCTTTTCTTTTGGTCTCAGCTTTCCCTTGGGCCTCAGGTCAAGGTCAAAGCTTCCTTCCTCACATCACATCCGTCCAGCACCGGGAGATATCCTGGGGCTGCACAAAACCCCTTTCTCTGGACTCTCCAGCCTTGCCAGACCCTCTCTCTGCCTGCCTCAGTGGTCACACATGACCCGGCCCACTGGGTCCCCATCCTGTGGCTTCCCGCAGAGCTGCTTCTTGGCACTGTGCGTCCCCTCACACTCCACGAGCTCAGGGAAACCTCCACGCACACCTCGGGTCGGCAGACGCACCAGGGCTGTCAGCCTGAGGGAGCTGCGGGCCTGGCCCTGCCCAGGGTCGGAGGAAGCAGCTGCCCTCACCACAGTCAAGTATGCGTCTCAGCAGCCCCCGCTCCCTCGTGACTGCGTCTGGGCAGAGCCAGGAGCGCTGGCGTCCCCCGGGCATGGCCAGGATTCCTGACCGAGGTGGGATGGGCAGGGCTCGCCCTCAAGGCCCTGCACGGTCCTTCCTCCACGACGCCGGCCCCCAAGCCCGCACCTGTCAGGAGGGAGATGAACGGCCCTCGTCTCGGAGCGCAGGCCCCTGCCGGCCCCAGCTCGCTCCTCTTTAGCCAGGGCTTGAGACTTCTTCCGAGACAAGGCGTGGGTCAGCCAGTCCTCCTCCTCGGATGCCCCCAGCTTGGAGGCCTGGCTGGCTTTGGCAGTGCACATGGTACGCTCGGCAGGCGGCTCTGCCCCCAAGGACGGCAGCCCAGCAGAGCCCGAGTGCTGCTTTGGAGGGGGCACTGAGGGGGCGGACAGCACAGAGCCTCCCTGCTGGGTCTCTCGGGGGGGAGGAGGGGGGGAAAGGTCCAAGTCATCGTCCTTGAGGCCCAGCCAGTCGGCGCCTCCTTTCCTGCTGTGGACGGGGCTGGAAGCTGCCAGAGGGCTCTGCTTGGAGCTCGGTTCTCCCTTGGTGTCTGCGCTGCCTTCTGCTAAGAACCTACTTCAAGACAGAGAGGCAGGTGTGAGGCGGGGAGGCAGCCAGCCCCAACCCCTGCGCTGGGGACTGCTGGGCCTGCGGCAAGGAGTCCGTGACGACTGAACTCGCTGTTGCAGGCGGGCGGGGTGTGCCGTCGGGACTGCCCTGCAGGTCCAGGAGCAGGCCTGGAGAAGCCATCACGAAGGCCGGTGGTCTTGCCGGCCCTTACAAGGTGCCGTCCCCACGGAGGCCGAGCAACAACCCAGCCTTCCCGGAAGAGGCGCCCACCTTCTCTTCCAAGGAAACCAGGAGGGAGGCCAGCAGGCCGGGGTGGAATCTGAGATCGGGCCCCAGGGGAACCATCTCAAGCCCTCTGGACTGGGCAGCCTCCCTCCCTCACAGAGCCTAGTGCCTCTTGCCCCGGGGTCTCCCACACAAGGCTGCAGGGTGCAACGGGTGCAGGCCACAGGGGTCTGCTTTCCCAGCGGCCAAGCTGCTTACCTGACCGACTGCCGACGGGACTGCCGGCCCTCCGCGGAGGCCACGGTGGGCTGGTAGGCACCAAAGGTGAGGTCCTCATCGCCCCAGGAATCTTCTCTGTCTGTGAATTAAGGAGCCCATGACCATGATCGCGAGGCGGGGGAAGTACAGCTCGCATGGCTGCAGCCCACATGTGAGACAGCGGAAGTGAAGCTGCTTTGCGGGAAGCAAGACCACCAGGCGCCAGCCCTGGCCTGGGTCCCGGGACCCCTCAGGGCCAGGCCCAGTGACTGTCCGTGTTCTCAACAGGCGGCCCGCTGGCTGACGTGAGGAACGTGTGCCCCAGGCAGCGTTTCTCAAACCGCCAGCTGCTTGCTACCTGTTGCGGGGTCAAGAAACCAGCTTAAAGAGTCACAGCTAGCGGCTTTGCAAATCAAACAGCAAGTACATCAAGCTGAACTGGCTGAGCTAAGTCCCACGGTCATGTGTCACTCAGCAAGGGGACAGTCTGAGCAGCACATGGCTGGGGCGGGTGTCTGGCCCAGTGGCTGATACGCATCCCACGTCAGGGAGCCCGGGTCTGAGTCCTGGCTCTGCTCCCGATACCAGCTTCCGGCAAGGCACTCCCTAGGAGACAACAAGTGGCTGCTCCAGTACCCGGGTCCCTGCGGCCAATGGGGGTGGGGGGAGACCCGCATGGAGCTTTCTCTCTTTCCAATAAAAATGAAAATAAAAATTTACAAGAAGAAATGCAGTCAGGGGATGTGGTCACTGTGCAAACATCCTACGGCGTGCGTATCAGAGTCCGCCAGCGATATACTCTGCGGGACAGGGTGTGGATGCATTTCTTTTCTTTGCTTTTAATATATTTATTTGAAAGGCAGAGTGACAGAAAGAAAGAAAGAGATTTCCCACCCACTGGTTCACTCTCCAAATGCCCCCAATAGCCAGGGCTGGCCAGGCCAAAGCCAGGATCCTGAAACTCCACCCAGGTCTCCCATGTGGGTGGCAGGGACCCAAGTACTTGGGCCACCCTCTGTTGCCTCCCAGAGTGTGCATGAGCAGGAAGCTGCCTCACAGGCAGAGCTGGGAGTCAAACCAGGCATTCAGATACGGGGTCTGGGCTGGCATCCCGCCTGCGGTGCTGGCATCCCCTATGGTCACTGGTTTGTGTCCTGGCCGCTCCTCTTCCAATCCAGCTCTCTGCTAATGCACACGGAGAAGCAGCAGAGGATGGCCCAAGTGCTTGGGCCCTGCACCCACATGGGAGACCTGGAAGAAGCTCCTGGCTCCTGGCTTCAAAGGGGCCCAGCTCCAGCCACTGCAGCCACCTGAGGAGTGAACCAGCTGAGAGAAGACCTGAAGACCTCTCTCTCTGTCTCTCCCTCTCTGTCTGTAACTCTGCCTCTCAAATAAATACATAAAATCTATAAAAAAAAAAAAAAAAAAGAGAAGAAGATAGGCGATGCAGGCTTCCTGAGTGGCACCTAACTGCTGTGCCATGACACCTGCCTGTGGCAGAACCTTGTGCCACTCTGGCTGTTAGAAATGTGTAACGGGCCGGCACCGTGGCTCACTTGGTTAATCCTCCACCTTCGGCGCCGGTATCCCATATGGGGGCGGGTTCTAATCCCGGTTGCTCCTCTTCCAGTCCAGCTCTCTGCTGTGGCCTGGGAGGGCAGTGGAGGTTGGCCCAGTGTTTGGGTCCCTGCACCCGCCTGGGAGACTGGGAGGAAGCACCTGGCTCCTGATCGGCATAGCTCCAGCTGTGGCAGCCACTTGAGGGGTGAACCAATGGAAGGAAGACCTTTCTCTCTCTCTCTCTATCTCTGTCAAATAATAATAATAAAAAGTGCACGACAGTGTGTGTGAGAGGAGGTAAAGCTCACTTCTTACTACGAGCTGTGCTGAAAACCTGGTGGCGTGCTCTCTCCTCCCCACCTGGCCCCACCCGTGCCCCTCTTCCTCAGGGGGACCAAGCAGCACCGCAGCCTTTCACAGCTCCCACGGCCCACTGCGGCCTCCTGGCTTCCTCACCCTGCGGCCTCTGGTACTTCTTGTCCAGCTTGAACTCCCTGTGCTCTCCGGTCCCTGGGCGAGTCAGGAGGCTGGCGGCTGTGCCGCGCGCCAGCAGCTCATCCAGCTTGGAGCGAGCCGGGCGGGGCCCTCCCCTGCAGGACGAACACCAGGCAGGAGCTTGGGACTGAGGGCTCTCGGGGGCCCACGCCACCCCCACCCTTGTGGTCTGCCCTGGACCTGAAGCAGCAGCCTGGCCAGGGACCCTCAGCTCCTAAGGGTCCTTACTGGTCTCCCATCTGCCTCTTCTCTGCCCTGGGGCTGTCTCCAAAGCCCAGAGCGGCCATGAGGTCGTCCCCCTCGTCAAATGGCAATTCTTCTTTCTTTCGGACGGGGGTGTCCCCGGGAGTCAGGGGGATGGAGGGGCCTAGAAGACAGAGCCCAGGGCCCAGTGCCCTCAGCTGTGACTGGAACGGACGGCAGGGGGTGGTTTCTGCATGCAGGAGGGGCAGCAGCACCGTGGCTGACCCCCTCGGCCCACGTCCCACCACCCGACCCCAGACCCACGGCCCCTGCCCCGGGAGCAAGCCCGCTGCCCCCACCTTGCCCTCTGTGGGTGCCGGGGCTCTTGCCGGAAGCTGCTTTACTCTCTGTCCTGGGGGCCTTCTTGGCGACCTCCTCCTCGTCGTTGGAGAGAAGTCCTGCCATCGGGTCTTCCGAGTCTCCGGTCAGAAGGAAGGAGAGGTTGGACTGCAGCGCGTGGCTCCGTGGGGCCAGGCATCGCCCGAGTCATCCCATAAAGAAGCCACCTGGCGTCTGCAGGGTGGGCCCACGGAAGTGGACTGGCGGGGGGGGGGGGGGGGGGGGGGGGGCAGGCACCCCAGGCCTGCTCGGCTGCCCCAGCTCAGCCACGGCCTCCTGACTGCTGGCGGCGTGGCCTTCTGGAGGTGGCCTTTCCCGCGCTTTATGAGACGTCCGGCTCAACGCCTGGCTTCAGAGTCCTCGTCCTAAATCCCAAACACCTTGGCCAGCACAAGGTAACCAGCACTCCCAGCATCCACGGAGCTACACCCGGGCACCAGCTCTCTGCTTCCCCTCTGCTACACAGGGCGAGGAGGCCCCGGGAAGCAGCGAGCATTACCCAGGCTGCTTCTCTCTCTAAAGCAGTGTCCCGCAGCTCCACAGGGGCTCCGGTACCTTCCGAGGGAAACCTCCCGTGCTGGTGTCCAAAGCTGCTGGGAGCTGGCCTCCTGGTGGGAGCGGTGTCCCCTGCAGGAAGAACGAGAAGGCACACTTGTGGGCTGGGGCTCTCGGGACCCACACCACCGCTGGGGCCCTGGGATGGCGTGCACTGCGTCTTGGGCAGCTCATGGCCACAGACACAGTGTGGGAGGGTCTACACCTCCCCAGTTCTCACGGGGCCCCTGGCAGGGAAGTGTGTGTGTGAGGAGCCACCTCCTGCCCCTCACCCCGCATCACTGCAGACGGGGTTGGCAGGCTACCAAAAACTTTACTATTTTAGCTCAGAAAGCTTTTCCAGGGGTGGCCCATGCTAGACTGGGGGACCAGAGCAGCTGAGAGAGGGGGAGAGGGCCCATGTGCCCCCACCACGCACACCCACAGTGCGCAGAGCAGCCTGGCCTCTGCAGCCCAGGCCGGGACCCGCAGGGTGTGCAAGCTCCCTTCTCAGCATCCCCAAGTATCCCCGGCAGATTCAGAACACCCTTCCCAATTCACCTCTCTCACTAGCTGCCAACTTGTCCACAGGTTTGGGGTTACCAGGAGACGTTTCTTTCCCAGAACCCTTTGCAGCTGTCCTGCCAGGGGCTGGGTGAGACTTCTTCAGACCCAAGAAGTCGGCATCCATTTGCTCCAGGTCCTGGAACACGGGCGGAGGCTGCAGTCAGAGAGGGGCAGGGCTGCCGCCCGCACCCGGGAGCAGAGCTGAGAGCCGAGGACGCTGAGAAAACGGTGACTCCGGAAAGAACACAGAAGCCCAGGCGAGAGAGTGGGGCGGGGGCTCTGCCCTGGTTCTGGAAGGACAGACATCACCGCCCAGCGAGGGAGCAGGCACCGCCGCCTCAGAGCCCCACAGGGCTGCAGCCTCAGCCCAGGCTTCACGGAGAAACGCATGAAGCAGGAGGGCCAAGGAGCTGAGGGCAGAGGGTGCTGCCCTGGGCCGAGCCACACGGGGGCTGGCTGAGGGTGCCCTGGGCCGAGCCACACGGGGTCTGGCCGAGGGGCGCCCTGGGCCGAGCCACACGGGGGCTGGCCGAGGGCGCCCTGGGCCGAGCCACACGGGGGCTGGCCGAGGGTGCCCTGGGCCGAGCCACACGGGGGCTGGCCGAGGGTGCCCTGGGCCGAGCCACATGGGGGCTGTGATTCTGCTGAGTATCCGGCATTTATGTCCTACGATCCAGTGCAAAGATTAATTAGCTCTGGGCTTCACCTGATGAGAAGACGGCTGGACCAGAGGGCACTTGGCAAGGAGCGGGCAGAGAAACAGAGAAAGGTCAGGGCAGACATTCGAACAGTCTGCCCCCGGCCCGAGGTGGAGGAGATGGGGAGGGCCAGTCAGATGGGTCCTGGGCTGCAGGGACGGCCCCTCTCCGGAGGCCAGGAGAACCGGTTAGACCCAGAGGGGCAAGGGGAAAAGCTCCCGCGCGAGCTCCCATCTTGCACAAGGAAGCTCAGAGCCACAAACAGAGACAGAGACACGAGACAGCGTGCAGCCGCGGAGTGAGCCCGCAGCCCTCCTCCCAGCCTCCACCCCAGCTCCCAGGACCCGAGGCTGTGGCTCTACCTCCCTTACCTGGAGCAAGGCCTCCGGGTCAGCATCTGAGACCTCCGACACCTAACTCCACGGGAGGGCGAGGGCACAGGTCAGTCATGGACAGCAATGCTCAGGGCTTGGCCCCCGGCACCCTGCTCCTGTGCGTGCACACGGCCCGACGGGGGCAGCGCTGTGCCCATGGGGCATAAACAGGAGGGTGCCTTTGTCCCCCCCTCAGGATTTGGCTGTTGTCTGAAGCCAAACCTGCCCTGGGACAAAGAGCCAGAAAGGGCTGCCACTTCCTGTTGCTCCCGCCTGGAGAAACACTGTCATCACAGAACCCGAATCAGGCCACTCCCCCCGCGACCAGAAGTCTCTGGGGTTTGTTACCCTGGGCTGACGGCGGCTCAGGCTCTACTTGCCAGCTCACGGTGCTGATGGGAGGAAGGGCGTGGCTTTGGCAGCCCTTGTGTTTTGCTTATTGGACCGAATTGATGGGGATTTCTTTTTTGAAAACTATTTTCTTGTTTGAGAGAAAGAGAGCCCTGATTCTCTCCTCAAATGCCCACAGCTGAGCCAAGACAAAGCCGGAAGCCGGGAGCTCAGTCCAGGTCTCCCATGTGGGTGGAAGGACCCAACTACTCGAGCCAGGACTGCTGCCTCCCAGGTCTGCACTGGCAGGAGACGGGGCAGGACCGGACCCGGGCACTGTGTTGTGGGACGGCGGCTTGTTGACCTCTAGGCTTCAGCTCCTCTGTGAGTGGCCACACCCTTGGTGGCCACACCGACGCCACTGCTCCTCGGTATAAACCAGCAGGCTGCGGACCGGAGAACGGGCCAGGCTCACCTCGGCGTCAGCTTCTGCCAGGACTTCCCTGGGGCCGAAGACGTCGTCGTCTCCCAGGAGGGACCTGCAAAAGCGTGGCAGCGGTGCTGGGCGCCAGATGACTCTAGGGAGGAGTGGCCCAGAGTACAGGTGGACCTGCACAAGGCCCTTGGGGAGGACAGAGCAGCTGAAGTGAATGTCACAGGCCGCCATGCAGGGACTGCCAACGTCTTAGAGTAATGCAGCCCCTTTAAAAACAGCTACAAACGAACTGCTCCAGCCACAACGCAGGGGGAGGGTGGAGCGGTCACAGAGCCCCTCCGTGTGTCCCACTGTCAGGAGAGACCCCCAAGAACGCACACAATTGGAAAATCACCCACCCAGGCCGAGCCTCTTGAGGACAAGGAACCGAGGCCCAGGAATGGCCAAGGCCACATCTGAGTGACAGCCCTAGGACCAGGAGCCAGGGCTTTGACCTCCGGTTCGTATCTGTATCTATTTCCCCAGACTTGTTCAGTACCAGGGCAGGGGTGCGGGAAGGGGGTGGAAACCACTGACATTCAATGGCACAGCCAAGCGGGACGCCAAGAGCACGGGGGCTGGGAGGGTCACAGGTGCCCCAGCCCGTCGGATCCGGTGCTTACTTTGCTCCGGTCTTGGAGGGGAGCCCCCGAGATGCACCCACGGTGTCTCCGGCACGCGAAGCTCGATTAACAGGCGTCTCAGGAAGCATCTCTGGCAAAAAAAAAAAAAAAAAGACAACAGAAATGCCGTGACGCCGTGATGCTGTGGCTCTGCTGGGGAGGACGGCGAGTCCCCACCAGCTGTCTCCAACCTGAATCAGGTGGCGGTAGATCTGCAAAGCGGAATTCAACCCTCAGTGCCAACCAGAGGCAAAGGAGGAGCCCAACCCACCCACAGCCCATGCACACGCAGCGGGCCGAGGGCAGGCCGGGGCACAAGGGCTTTGTGGGTTCTCTTGGCCATGTCGGGGAAACCGAGTCCTCCCGTCCCTGAGGGAGACTGTGTGGTCCTGTTGCAGACACGGGCGTCCTCTGCTCACAGCCAGCGAGGGCAGCAGAGCCTGGGCCCCTGCACCCGTGAGGGAGACCAGGATGGAGCTCCTGGCTCCTGGCTTCAGCCTGGCCCAGACCCGGCTGTCGCAGGCCTTGGGGGAGTGAACCAGTGGACAGAGAAGCTCCCTCTGTCTCCCTACCTTCCTTTCTCTGTCACTCTGTCTTCCAAATAAATAAATCTTACAAAAAGACGGAAAATAAGCATTGGCGCGGATGTGGAAACACTGGGATTCTCTGGCATCGCTGGGGGAATGGAAGGTGGCACGGCTGGTGTGAGAAAGCGTGGCAGCTCCTCACAGTGTCAGACAGAGCCGCCACGTGAGCCGGCAGCTCCTCGGTCCATGCAGAAGGCGCCCGTCTACACAGACCTGTGCACGGATGTGCACAACAGCATTGCTCCTCAGGGCCAAAATGCGGAGGCAGCTCAGATAAACACCCGCCAGCTGATGAATGGGTGAACAAAACGGCCCATCCGCACAAGGGGTATTATCCAGCTAAATGGGTACATGCCACAGGGCACCGAGTGAAAGCCAGACGGAAGGGAGGCCAGCTGGGGCAGGAGACCATCTCCTGTCGAATTCCGGGACAGGCAAATCCACAGAGTAAGTGGTTGCCTGCATGCTGGCAGAGGGGAGGGCGACTGCCTGGTCATGGGGACGGGCCTCTCACAGGTGAAGACAATGCCCTGGAGCTCGGCGGGGGTGACCGCTGAACAACCTTATGAATATTCTAAAAGCCCCCGCATGGCACACTAAGAGTGAATTTCATAGTATGTGAATTACACGTCAATTAAAACAAAGCCAAACCTGGGGGCCAACGTCACAGCACAGCAGGCTAAGTGGCTGCTTGCAATGGTTGGAGCGCTGCTCTGCTTCCCATCCAGCTCCCTGCTGTGGCCTGGGAAGGCAGCAGAAGACGGCCCAAGTGCTTGGGCCCCTGCACCCGTGTGGGAGACCCGGATGGAACTCCTGGCTCTGCCCTGGCCCACCGCTGGCTTTCACAGCCACCTGGGGAGTGAACCGGAAGGTGGGAGATCTGTCTCCGACTCTCCTTCCCTCTGCTGTTCTGCCTTTCAAATACATAAATAAATACACCTTTTCAAGAAAAATAAAACAATATAAAACCCAGGGAACTGTGGGGGAGGGGCACTTACTGTCATCCCCCAGAAGGTCACTGAGGACATCATCAATGGAGCCTGGAACAGAAGGGGGGACACGGTAACTTCAGGAGGAAGAAAAGTGACCCTGAACACATCCCAGCCCCGGATCAACCCCAGGGCCTCAGCCGCCGCAGATGCGGGAACTCAGGCCAAGCTCTCCCTCTGCTGGCCGCAGACGCGGGGCCTTGTGGAAACACCTGAGGCAGACATCTGAAGTGACCTTCTCAAAGAACTACGACAGGACGGGTTTCCTTTCTGCCTGCCTCCCCCGACAGACTTGCACAGAATCAGCCCTTCAGACTCAACGAAGCCCGTGTGGTTGTTTGGGAAGAGCATCCAAGATCTCTTTCATGCCGCGGCCTCCCTGCACCCTTCCGGCTGAGCCCCCGGTCTAAGCGCTGCCCCCCACCCCCGCCATGAAGGAGGCGCAGCCCTAAGCACAGAGCCGAGTCAGTCCTCCCGTCCAGCCTCAGCATCTGCACTGCCCTGCATCCCAACCACGTACAAGCCCAGTGCGGACTTTTTTTCTAAAACCCCACCTCATTTATTTCTCAATTCTTCTGCAGGACCAATGAGGTGGCATATGGGGGGACCCTAGGAAGGTCAAGGCTGCCTGGGGAATTATGGGAAAAACAGCAAGACTTGTACCCAGCACTTTAAACACAGACATGGATAAACTGCTTTTGGACCCAATGTGTAGGGGGGTGAACACATGTGAAGGTACTTCAGAAAGGTTGTGGAGGAGGCCTTTGCCACTCGGGCACCCCCTCCCACACTGGGGTGTCTGGGGTTGACTTCCTCCTCTGCTTCCAGTCCAGCTTCCTGCGAGCGCACCTGGGAGGCAGCAGGTGATGGTCCAAGTCCGTGGGTCCCCGCCTCCTCCCTCCAGCCCCACTGTGAGACAGGGATGGAGCTCCTGGCTCCGGCTTCAGCCTGGCCCAGCCCTTACTGTTGGGGGCACCTGCGGAGTGAAGCGGGGGATGGAAGATGGGGCGCCCTTCTATCCTGACCCCGTGTCACTCTGCCTTTCAAACAAATCTTCTAAAAAAGTTTGTGGAAAGTGGAATTTATTAAAACATAAGCTTATGTTGGTGCAAAGAATCCTGGAGTCCATGCATAGTTTTTTGTAAGCACCCCCCATGCACTTCTTGAAGAACCTTCATCGTATTTGGTTAAGGCTGCTTTTCCCTCCTTCCACTTACCTTTCAATCCTTTCTTGGCTTTTGGTGCCTAAAATGGGACAAGCAAATCACATTAACAAATTCAAACAGGGAACACGTGTTCAAACTGGAAATGTGCAGTGCGTGGTTCTGCCTTTTGCCAAGTCACCAGGAGCACCAACGGCATTTAGAGACAGATCTTTACGCTCTTCCTATTCAGAGCAGGGGGACAGTCCCCACTGGGTGCAGCGCGCCTGTGTCGGGGCAGAAATCTCTCCGCCTCCCTGACTCCCAGAGGCCTCACTCCCAGCGAGGGCGCCCTGTGCCAGGAAGTGTTTTCTTCCACTCCCAAGTCCTTGGTTCCTGATGCCAGCGACGGGAAACTCTTCTAGCCGGACATTCAGACTCTTGGGAGAACGCTTGCGCAGGGCTTATCCATGCTCTTGCCTTCACTCCTCTCCAGAGTCGGGAAGAATTAGCCCATGTGTGTGAAAGGGGCCCTGCATTTTACAAAGTCCTGTCCCTACCCTGGTAACTTCCTGGGTGGTCCCAGCCTCCCCCCATGAAACTCCTCTCTGCCCAGCCTAACACTGGGTGTCCAGGAGTCAGTGCGCAGAGAAAGCCCGGGCAGAAGCGGAGCCCAGGCCCCGACCCGCCAGCTGGATGTAGACTGGGCACTATCAGAGGCGCCGTCCACTCCCACGGGAGCACTACCGCGCTGACCCGTGCCACCTTGCTTCCTGCTGCTCTCTCACATCTGAAGACAAGAACCTCTGCTCCCAACACCTCTGCCAGCAGAACCACACCCTGGTGGCGGCCATGCGGTCCCCAAAGCAGTTCCCGCAGGCAGGATCTTCCGGTCACAGAGTTCTGGCCGGGAGGGTTTGCTTGTGACTTCTACACGCTGCCGGGCACCCACTGCTGCTCAGCGGGGGACGCTGGCACACTCCGCAGTGGGGCAGTGTCCACGTCTCCACAGCTAACCCTGCATCCCACCTACCATCTCGAGGCTCTGGGGGCTGCCTGCAGCTCCTCGTAGCAACGTAGTGTTCACTTGAAGTCTGCCCACCTCAGGCTCATCCTCCCTGATGAAGAAAATTAAAGCGTTTGCTCAAAAAGGATGTAGATTTAGAAGCTGGTGCTGAGACGCAACAGGGTAAGCTGCTGTGATGCTGGCAACCCACACGGGCGCCAGTTCAAGTCCCGCCAGCTCTACTTCCAATCCAGCTCTTGCTATGGCCGAGGAAAGCAGGGGAAGATGGCCCAAGTCTTTGGGCCCCTGTGCCCACACGGGAGACCTGGATGAAGCTCCTGGCTCCTAGATTCCACCAGGCCTAGCCCTGGTCATTGCGGCCATCTGGGGAATGAACCTGCGGATGGAAGAGCTCCTTTTCTGTAACTCTGCCTTTCAAATAAGTAAATCTTTAAAAAATTTATGTAGGCCGGCGCCGCGGCTCACTAGGCTAATCCTCCGCCTAGCGGCGCCAGCACACCGGGTTCTAGTCCCGGTCGGGGCGCTGGATTCTGTCCTGGTTGCCCCTCTTCCAGGCCAGCCCTCTGCTGTGGCCAGGGAGTGCAGTGGAGGATGGTCCAGGTGCTTGGGCCCTGCACCCCATGGGAGACCAGGATAAGTACCTGGCTCCTGCCATCGGATCAGCGCGGTGCACCGGCTGCGGCGGCCATTGGAGGGTGAACCAACAGCAAAGGAAGACCTTTCTCTCTGTCTCTCTCTCACTGTCCACTCTGCCTGTCCCAAAAAAATAAAATAAAATAAAATATAAAAAAATGTATGTAGCTTTAGGGGCTGATGCTGTGGCACAATGGGTTAAGCCATAGTCTGCAGTGCCCGCATCCCATGTGGGCACTGGTTCAAGTCCCGGCAGTTCTTCTTCCGATCCAGCTCCCTGCTACCATGCCTGGGAAAGCAGCAAAAGATGGCTTGGTCCCCTGCACCCACTTGGGAGACCCAGAAGCAGCTCCTGGCTCCTGACTTTGGCCTGGCCCAGCCCTGGCCACTGCTGCCATTTGGGGAGTGAACCAGCGGATGGAAAATCTCTCTCTCTGCTTCTGTCGCTGTGTAACTCTGCCTTTCAAATGCATACATAATTTTTAAAAAATTACAGAAAAGTGATGTAGCTCTGCCAGTGCGTGCGCCCAGGGGTCATCAGAGCCTCCCTCTTTAACACCGTGAGAAGCGAAGCTGCTGGCCGATGCACCGGGCTCCCCCTGGCCTCCCCACCCCTTGGATAAAGCTCACGGCCGTCACCTTCTAGGCTGGGAGGGCTAAGTGCGAGGCGCCCACTTCAGGAAGGAGGTGGCCGCCCCCAGGGCGACACCGTGGGCTCCGGCTCCCCCGCACGCGGCTCTCACGGGCCGGGAGGATCCCCCTGCACACGGCTCCTGCAGAGAGCAGCCTGCCTCAGCTCGGCTCTCTGCCTCCCCTCCCCTCCCCTCGCCGCCAGAACCCACCTGGGCGAGCCCCGGAGGAAAGCGGTCGCAGGGGGCCCTCCCTACGCTTCGTGCTGGCCTGTCCTGGAGGAGACAAGTTCCCCTGGGGTTACCATCGAGCCCGCCCCGGACGCTCGACTTTCTCTGCAATGGCAGCGTCCCCCTCCACGCGTCCAGACGCCCCCTCTGGGTCCCCGACCCTGCCGCCCACGCCGCGCGAACTCGCGACAAAGGCCCACAGGGCAACACCGCCTCTACTCAGCCCCGCGCCCGGCAACTCCAAGATCCCGAGCCAGCCCCAAGCCAGGGTCCTTCCCAGGCCCGCCTTCCGCCGCCAGGCTCCGCGCCCCTCCCCCGCCCCCGAAACCCCTCGTTACGCGCCACTGCCCTCGGAGGCGAGGCCGCGGGGGCCCGTGCCAGCCATAGCGGCGGGTCTCAACTCCCCTCGGCCGGCCCCCGGGGCCACCCCGCCCGCTTCCGGGCCCTGCTCTCGTCCGGCATCCCAGAGAGGTGAGCGCGAGGCATCCTGGGAGTTGTAGTGAGGTACTCCGCCACCGGCCGGAGCCAAAAAGCAAGGCCCTCCGGGAGGAACTACATTTCCCAGGGTGCTTCGCAGCGGCCTTCATTCGGGCCGGGCCTCGGTCCCTGGCTGGGAGGAGCGTTGCTAGGCGCTGTCAACGCCACCAGGGACGAGGACTCCGGACTGAGACGCTCCCGCTGCACTGCAGGGCACTGGGCTGAAGACGGAACTCTTAAAAAAAAAAAAAAAGAGATTTTCTAGGGGGAGCCGGCGCTGTGGCGTAGCTGGTAAAGCCGCCGCCTGAAGCGCCGGCGTCCCATATGGGCGCCGGTTCGAGTCCTGGCTGCTCCCCTTCTGATCCAGCTCTCTATGGCCTGGGAAAGCAGAAGATGGCCCAAGTGCTTGGCCCCTGCTCCCTTGTAGGAGACCCGGCGGAAGCTCCTGGCTTTGGATCAGCTCAGCTCTAGAGTGAACCAGCAGAATGGAAGACCTCTCTGTCTCTTTCAAGTAAATAAATATAAAACATTTTTAGAATTATTTTTTACTTGCAAAGTGGAGGGACCTTCCATCCGTTGGCTCACACTCAAGTGTCGGGACAGCCGGACAGCCGGAGCCAGGAACTCAGAGGGTCTCCCAGGTGGGCGACAGGGACATGTGTGCTTGAGCCATCACCGGCTACCATCCAGACACACAGGAAACTGGAATTGGAAACGGAGGAGCCAGGAGGCACCTACCGGGCATCCCAGCTGCCCCCTGAGCCCCACGCTGTCACCCAACAAAAAAATACTCAACACTTTTTCTTGTGTGTGCTCATTATGGGTTTTATTAAGGGTTACAGTCAATTTCACAAAGCAAAGAACAGTTAGTGGTTTGCTTACCCACAGGCCATGCGGGGTCACGCTGTCCAGCCAGGATTCACAAGCGCTGGCCCCTCCCACGTCCTCGAACTCCCACCCCCATCCCCACCCCCACCGGACATGTCTAGCCAGGGTAACACCACATGCAAAATTGCATCTTCCAGGTAGGAACCAAACCAACCACAAATTACATATCCCAAAGAATGCAAGTCATTCAGGAGGAGCCACGGGAATTGCAAATAAAATGATTACCAAGTAGTCATTAGTCTGTGTGAGATCACACATGCGCTGCCTAAAAATAAGTCAACTGTATTGTAGCGAAACTACTTATTGTAGTTCAGGATTCTTAAATCAATCCTAATTTCCCGTGACCGTTCCGAGACAACCAACGGCTCACTGGCGCGTAAGGCCAGGCCAGAACTGCCCTCAAACGCGCAGATGTGCCACAGCGCACATCTGGCACCTCTGCAGGGCTCTGCAAGTTTCTGACTGTGGATCACAGGAACGGATCTGAAGAGCTTGGCACACACAGCTGAAAGCAAAACCCCACCAGCAAGAATTTAAAATGAAGCCGTTGACAGTGTGGCTCCAGTTCTCCAAGAACGCAGTAGTCAGCCAATCAGCCGAGGTGACCAAAACCTTTATCAGGAATAAAGTAAGCGTCTTGGTCTCAGGTAGCACAATCATCTGTTAACTGCTCCTCAGTGCTGCCCCCAGGGACTCGTTCCACAGGCAGGCGTGAGCGCCTGCGGGGTCAGAGCCTGGCTGAAGTGTGAATCCTCGGGACCTTCAGGACTGTGGATCTGGAGAGCTGCAGCCAAAGCCCTGTGGTGCAGAAACCCAAGAACCAAGATCTGACAGATTAATAACGAGTGTGGCTGACTCCAGGCGTGTTCCCTGAAATGGCAAGTGCCTAGGCTCAGAAGGTATGAACACAGTTCACGTCGCAATTAGGTGAAGGTTTTGAGGATACCCGGATACTTGGCAGTACTCTGTTCTCAAGATAAGAACATGAGGGCCCCCAGAGGCTTTGGGACCAACTGTGCTTTGAAGTCACTCGCGTCCGCCTCAGTACTATCTAGGAGAGCACACAGAACCCCAAACACTAGCGGAATCAACCTGTATCCACCACAGGTAGCAACCACATCTCTATGAAACCTCGACTCAACTTTGTATACTGTTCAGAGTGCTTTCTACCCAGAATCGATCGTTTTGGAAGACTGTCTTGGCTTTTTTTTTTTTTTTTTTTTTTGTGGAAACGGCTCAGAGCAGACCCAAACTTCTCAGGAGCAGAGTCTGGCTTCCTTGTGCGACCACAAACACGCACCGAATCCTGCCAAGGACCCCGGAAATGCCCGGAGCCACTCGCGAGCGCTGCTCCGACTCCAGCAGTTCCAGCTGGCTGACGCCGTCTGCCCGGGCAGGTCTCCTTCCTTCTGGTTTTGTTCAGTGTTCTCTAAAACTAGTGAGCCTAAGTCCAAACTTCTTCATAACTTAGATTTGTTTGTGTGGCATGCTCTCTCTTAATGTATGATCAGTGAGGTTTTACTGGGTCTCCCTGTTTGATTATATTGACTAAAGTTCAGGACAAACATCCCAATGTCAACAAAAATGCTAGTATTAAAATGTCAGATTTCATACAAGCTGAGACGCCGGATGGAAGGAGGCTGTGTCGAGAACACACCTCTTCAGCCAGCCGGTTTCTGCAGCCAGATTAGGGGGGTGGCAGTCATCTGGGAAGGCGTTTAAACACTAATTGGAACAAATCTAGATGTAACAGGTCATTAATAAGCCATTTAAATTTACTGTTTTTCCAAGAACCTGAACTACTGTCAAGAGATACCCAAAGAAATAACTTGTTGTTAATCTTCAATCTTAACACAATTATCAACTTTCCCAATTACAGCTTTTGTCACCACACAGTATTTCTGTTGTAGCCCCTAAGTCTTATATTACCAGTTCCCCTGAAGACTTTATGCCAGGTCCCGAGACAACCACATGGCATCACACCACAACCTCAGGGCTGATTCTAGAACTGGCTTCTTGGGCAGACAGCACATACAGTCACCAGATTAAGAAAAAAAAATCAGGTGGCTTATGTTGCTTTACACTGATTCTCTAAGAACAAAATTCAGGTTCACAAAGTCAACTTTAAATGTACTGATTGTACAAATCAGATTCGGCTGAGAAAGCCAACTGAGCAATTCAGGCAGACGCTCTTAGGACACACGGAAAACAATCAACAGTGAGACTCAGCATCTAGGGAACTTCCGTTTATCTGCAAGCCAGTTTCAATGATTGTTCTCTGAACCAACCATCAGAACACACAGCTTATGTCAAAAGATTTTTCTGTTACTTCTGGGTGGAAGTGTGACCAAGTGACGTTTGTATTTTTAGTGCCCAACAGTCTGTCACCTTCAAGATTTTAATGGCTTATGCCGAGAGGGCAGAATTTTGAAATCTGCATCACCCCCAAATCCAATATGGTCACCAAAGTTACAGCAGCGCCATGGCCAGGGGCTCTCCCTTAGAAGGGGCAGGGACTGTGGTTTTTTTCTTCTCTTTTCAGTGTCTCTTTCAGAAGTGAGGGAGATCAAACACCAGGAGTGAGGCCGCAGCACCTGGCCCAAGTCGGTGCAGAGGTTAGCTTTCTTACCAGCTTCTTCCCAAGGAGCAGGGGACAAGGGGAGGTGAGTGCTGCTACAGCAATTCAGGGATCCTTTGAATGGAAGGGAAATTCCTGACTACAGGAGTGAAGGGTCCTGTAGATCTGGGGTAAAAACACAGAAGTCCCCAGCTGGAAAAACGCCATTGTGAGGGGTCAGACAGGAGCCACGCACTGGCAAAGGCAGGCAGACAGGCAGAAAATGGGCAGGCACGAACCCGTTCCTGCAGGTTTCTGGATTCGTTTCTCTCCCCCAGGCCTTCCTTCAGTCCTGAACCTCGGGAGGCGTGCAGGACCACGAGCAGGGAACTCGGTGGGGTTCTGCACCCATGAAAAAAAAATTTGCTTAAAAACACCTACACAGCCAGTGATTAGCAATTAAAATGTGAAAATAATTAACTACTTAGTAGTTAAATTCTGCTAATTACCAAAAGCCCTGGCCTATGGGATCAGCAGCGTTACAAATGAAGTCATAAACTTTTTCTGAATCTCATTCAGTGTTAATTGCACTTAAAATACATCTATTTTTTTCACTTAATCTTTGAAATCTGTTCATTTTTTCCTTCATTTATAGAAAGAGGAATGGGGTCAATTTAGCCCTTGCTCTGTGATTATTTCAATTTGATAAGGATTCCACCCAGATCCACGTACGAAGCGTGACAGGAGCTGCACACAGCTGCTCTGTGCGGATCAGACTTGTCCTTGCAACATCACAGCTTGGACTGCAGTGGTTTCAAGTGTTTGTAGTAAGATTCGTGGACCTGCAGGAAGGAGAGAGGAGAAACACCAGTGAAGAGCTGCCCGTGTACAAGAGCGTACGTTCAGGAATTACCTGGAATTTATTTGGATCCTAATTCAAAGCAACAATAAAAAGATATTGGGATAATCGAAAAAATCCAGGGTATTTCATGATGTAAGTTGCTGTTAATTTGTTCAGGAGGGCGACAGGTATTGGAAAGAATCATCTTCAGAGCTCCAGGCTGAGATCTCTCGAGGAAGAGAACCTGCCGCCTTGGAGCCCAGGACGAGGGGTCAGGAGATGGAGGCTCAGGTGGGCACAGACGCCAGGAGGCCACACTTGTGGCCACTGGACGGTATGTGGAGGTATTCCACTTGTACAGACATCTGAAGACGTTCAGGCAGTAGTGAATATTCAAGGGAATTAAAACCCAGTTCCCTTCTGACCCTGCAGCTGAAATAAAGTGAGGGCCACAGTGCTTTCAGAGCTTCCAGAGGAAACCCTGTCCACACGCCTCTCTCGCCTCAGTGTTTAAGGGAAGAACTTCAAAGGTGACAAGACTGTTTCTGGCTTGTTTTTGTTTTACCTCTGCCTTGTTCAGTGGGGATTTCTTGGCCCACTCAAACAAGTTCTCATACACATTCCCATCATAGCGGCCAAGTACAGAGCCAAGGGTCACATCCTGAAAATCAAATGCATCAACCAACGCAACGGCATTGGGGCGAATCAGAGTGAGCAACTCCTTTACACGCTGGTTGACCTGGGTGATCTGAGACTCGGTCATGATCTTCCCCTAAAAGAAACCCAAGTAAAGAGTAAGACACACGTATGTACACAGACAGCTAATATACACACAACTATCAAATATGTGACAAACATTTTTCTTAAAGACTTCCATGAGTGGTCTTTAAAATTTCATGTTCATGGGGGGGTCGGGGGGGAGCCAATGTAATCCATAAGCTGTACTTTGGAAATCTATATTCATTAAATAAAAGTTAAAAAAAAATTCATGTTTATAATGATTCTATGAAAACATGCATGACCTTTCTCTCTGTCTCTCTCTCTAACTATCCACTCTGCCCGTCCATAAAAAAAAATAAAAAAAAAAAAACGTGCATGGATTACAATTTTCTTTTTTAAGATTTATTTAAAAGGTAGAATTATAGATAGAGATCTTCCATCTGCTAATTCATTCCCCAAATGGCCACAATGGTCAGGGCTGGGCTAGGCAGAAGCCAGGAGCCAGAAGCTTCATCTGGGTCTCCCAGATGGGTGGCAGGGGCCCAAACATTTGGGTCGTCTTTCACTGCTTTCCCAGGCACACTAGCAGGAAGCTGAATTGGAAGTAGAGCAGCTGGGGCATGAACCAGCACCCCACAAGGATGCTGTCATTTTAGGCAGCAGCATAACCTGATCCACCATAATGCCAACCCTGGATTTCAATTTTTTTTTTTTTGGCAACAAAATGAATTTATCTCAATTCCATTTTTATGAACTTTTTTTCCCCCTGATTCTTCTTCTTATTTTTTTAAAAGCTATTTGAAAGGCAGAAAAAGAGAGACTCTATCCACTGGTTCACTCCTGAAATGGCTACAACAGCCAGGTCTGCACCAGACCAAAGCCAGAAGCCACAAAGTTCATCTGGGTCTCTCCTGTAGATGGCAAAGGCTCAAAGACTTGGTCCCCCACCTGCACTGGCAGGTGCACTGGCAGGGAGCCGGATCAGAAGCAGAGTCTCAAGCCGCAGCTTAACTCACTGCACCATAACGCTGCCCCCGGGAACTCTTTGGAGCAGCCTCCGAGTTAGAAAATACTGACCTGAAGGAAATCTCCCGCCTTCTGACTGATTCCATACAGAGAATACAAGAGACACAGATTCTTTAAGACAGGCTGGATGGATTTATCTTGAATTTTGAGGAGTTTTTCTGAAAAGAGCTTAACTACCACATAGTGGCAATGTGCCTGAATAAAAAGAAAACAGGGTGAGAACCTGGAGTCAGCACCCAGTGACCAGGGCTCCTGCACTAAAAACACAGTGGGTGCCTGAGGGTGCAGAAGGAATGACCACTGACCTCACTTGCTCGAACAAGGTCCACAGAGGTCAGGTTCCAGGCTACCTCCTTGCTTTTTCTGTGACTCACTTCAGTCTGAAGGTTTTTTGCAGCAATTTCTACTAATCTGTTCAGAAACGAAAGATAACACGAGGCGGAGGACACGGTCAACAGCACTCATGGCTGTGTCTCATCCGTGAGGCCCGCCCCAGTCTTGCTCTCGAGGGCAGACTCACCTGGCTGCCCGGTGTTTGTACGCATCAGTGAGGCTGTCAGGACTGTTGATGTCCACCGTGGTGGGCCACGCTGCTACCTGCTGTGGCTGGATGCGCTGGCTAGGCAGGTCATTCAGGTAGGACACCATGCCACCCACCAACTTTCCTGAGTGCACCTGGTCATAACTTTTCATCAGGAACCTAAAATTCACAAGCACACATGCTCGCAGTGACTCCACCCACTGGGTCACTCCCCAGATGGTTGCAACTGCCAGGGTTGGGCCACGCCAAAGCCAGGAGCCTGGAGCTCCATCCTGGTCTCCCACACGGTGGCAGTCCTTGGCAAGTACTTGGGCCGTCCTCTGCTACTTTCCCAGGCATATTAGCAAGGAACTGGACTGAACACAGAGCGGCCGAGTCTTGAACTGGTGCCCACATAGGATCTGGTGTCGCAAGCTGCAATTAGCCTGGTGCGCCACAGTGCTGGCCCCTGGCAGTTCCGCTCTTGCAACAACTTCTAGCTGCATGACAGATATTTCATGCTTGCCAGCTCAACCCCAAGATAAAACAGCAAGTCAGGATAGACTCCCAACCGCCTCTCAAGAACAAATACAAAGACAAGGTACAGAGATCTGGGACGGGGGCTGTGAGAGGCACTCGCGATTTTCAGGAAGACAGGAGGACTCTCACCTGGCCGTCTGCAGCATCATGACCGTGTTCTCTCCCTCGAAGGTGCAGGAGGGAGTGAAGGTGACGTAGATGTTCGGGAGGCCGCTGCTGTGGGAGTAGCCGTGTCCACCGCACGCCATCCGACACTCCTCGATGGCTGCGTTTGTTACCCAGGTGGTAAACGCCTTCAGCCCGGCGGTGAGGGCGTGAAGCTGGGGGACAAGCACAAGGCTGTCAGCACAGCGGTGGTGTCCCAGTCCCAGTCCCAGCGAGCGAACAGACATCTCCCTAAGGGCAGCAGACACAGGCCCAGCGACTAGACAGAACTCAACACTACCACCCTCCCTTCTGCACCGTCTTGCTCAGCAAAAAAGTCCCTGTCCTTGTTCCCTCTGACTGCCAAAGACCACAGGGTGCACCACTTCTGAGAAACCCACATATCCTCCTATCTGATCTACTTTCAATCAGCAAACAATTCTAACATATTCTTCTTTTCAGAAAACGCCAGCGTTTTTTCCAGAACATTATCCGATAGGATGCCCACCTCCGGCAGCTCACTCAGGTCCCCTTGGCCAATGCCTTCATTGATCCGATGATAGGTCTCCTTCATGTAGGCGCCTACGAACTGGAAGGCATAGGCTGTGGCCAGGAGCGGAAAGAGTTTATACTGCTGGGTTTGAAAATCCAAAATCTGCGGCTCTGGTTCACTGAATGACAGAAATAGAAATAAACATGTAAATGCTTCTACAGAACGCTGTGTGCCAGGTTCTAGTCTGAGCAATTTAGTACATTAATGCATTTAATCCTTATAAAGATCCTGTTTGGTGGCCGGCGCTGCAGATCACTAGGCTAATCCTCCGCCTAGTGGCACTGGCACACCGGGTTCTAGTCCTGGTCGGGGCACCGGATTCTGTCCTACTTGCTCCTCTTCCAGGCCAGCTCTCTGCTGTGGCCCGGGAGTGCAGTGGAGGATGGCCCAAGTGCTTGGGCCCTGCACCCGCATGGGAACCAGGAGAAGCACCTGGCTCCTGGCTTCGGATCAGCGCGGTGCGCCGGCTGCAGCAGCCATTGGAGGGTGAACCAACAGCAAAAGGAAGACCTTTCTCTCTGTCTCTCTCTCTCACTATCCACTCTGCCTGTTAAAAAAAAAAAAATCCTGTTTGGTAACTACTATCTTTTTTTTTTTTTTTAAAGATTTCTTTTTATTTATTTGAAAGAGAGAGAGAGAGAGAGAGAGAGAGAGAGAGAGACTGAGAAAGGTCTTCCATTTGCTGGTTCACTCCCAAATGATCACAATGGCTAGACTGAGCTGATCTGAAGCCAGGAGCCAGGAGCTTCTTCTGGGTCTCCCATGTGGGTGCAGGGGCCCAAGCACTTGGGCCATCTTCCACTGCTTTCCCAGGCCATAGCAGAGAGCTGGATTGGAAGAGGAGCAGCCGGGACTAGAACTAGCAGTCTCAAACCGGTGCCCATATGGGATGCCAAAGGTAAAGAGAGAAAGAGGAGTAGCCGCGACTCAAACAGGTGCTCATATGGGATGCTGCACAGTGGGCTGGGACTTTACTCCACTGTGCCACAGCACCGGATAACTACTATTAACATCTCCAACTACAAATGGGGAAACCGAGAAGTTAAGATTCTGCCTGAAGGGGCCGGCGCTGTGGCACAGCAGGTTAATGCCCTGGTCTGAAGCGCTGGCATCCCACATGGACACCAGTTCAAGACCTGACTTCTCCATTTCCGATCCAGCTCTCTGCTCTGGCCTGGGAAAGCAGCAGAAGATGGCCCAAGTCCTTGGGCCCCTGCACCCACATGGGAGACCCAGAAGAAGCGCCTGGCTCCTGGCTTCGGATCGGCACAGCCCCGGCTATTGTGGTTAATTGGGGAGTGAACCATCGGATGGAAGACCTCTCTCTCTCTCTCTCTGCGTAACTCTGACACTTTCAAATAAATAAATAAATAAATCTTTTTTTTTTTTTTTTTTAAGATTCTGCCTGAGTCACACAGTCTTCACTTAACCTAGGTCAGCAGAGCGGATGCTTGGTCTAGCAGCTAAGCTCCGGTCAGTGTGTCCTGCAGTGGAGTATCCCAGCTTTGGCTCTCAGTTCCAGTTTCCTGCTAATGCAGACCATGGCAGGCTTAGACTTGAGTCCCTAGCACTCAGGTGGGAGACCTGGATCGTAATCCTAGCTCCCAGCTTTGGCCAAATCTGGTCCCAGCCATTGCAGGCACTTGGGGAGTGAACCAGTGGATGGCAGTTCTGTCTCTGTCTCTCTTCCTCTCCAATTAAAAAAATAAAAAACAAACAAACAGAAACCTAGGCTATTTGGCTCCACAAGACCATGCTCCTTAAAAAGAAAAAAATTTATTTTATTTATTTGAAAGGCAGTTAGAGAGAAAGGAGAGACAGAGAGAGATTGTCCATTCACGAGTTTACTCCCCAGATTGCTGCAACAGCCAGGGCTGGGCCAGGCCAAAGCCAGGAACCCGGGAGTACCAGGTCTCCCGCACGCGTGGCAGGGGTGCGAGTATCCGGGCCATCTTCCACCCCTTCTGCCCCTGCCTTACCCTGGCTTGATCTCAGACTGGTGCCTCACAGCACTGTATCGGATAGCAATGGTGCAGGCCTTGGACAGAGACCGGGCAGCTTCTCCCACGAGGAAGGACCTGACAAACACCATGGTCCCGTAGGTCAGCTTGTTACTCAGGGGTTTCACGTACGTGCCATCTGGCTTCACCTGGAAGGAGAACGTGAGATGAATGCTTCCTTCTGTTAGGCCCATGTGGCCGCCGTGAGGTTCTAGTGTGGTCCCTGGGAACAGTAGCAGCGCAGTAGCATCTGGCAGCTTGTCTGAAACTAAATTGTAGCACTGCCCACCTGTGGCCAGAACTGGCAACCCGGATTTTATCAGCCTCCAGGCGACCCGTACTTCATGCTGAAGTTTGAGAACCAATGGTTTAGCACACTCCATGTGCTTATCACCCCTGCCAACTGCTTCCAAACACCAACACAGTGAAAACAACACCAGAAGTAAACACACGCTATCACCCTCTTAACGTCAGGCCCCTGGTAACCCGTAGTTTTCAACAGTCACCATCCTCCTGCTGGATGCCTCTGGCTCCTGTCTGCCACCTACGTATACCTGGGCATACTTCATCAGCATGTTCTCTCTGGGAATACGATAATTGTCCATCTTCAGGTAGCCATTATCCATCTCTTCATAACCGAATTTGGGGCCGATGTCTCCGACGGTGATGCCTACCACAGATGAGGGAAAGTCGTGAGCGGGCTGCACGCGGGAACCCAGCCTGCCCCCTGCTTCGCCAGCTGGGTCTCGGACTTTTTGCAGAAGAAATGCTCACTCCATTTTCACCTCAACATCAGATGAACAATTCTTACCTGGCAAAGGCTTGTGGGTCCCAATCTCACGAATAGGTACGATGAAGGCATGCAATCCGTAACACTTCCCCTTCGTGATGAGCTGTGCAAGGACTATCGCGTGATTTGAAGTCTTTCCAACTGCAAAGTCAAAGAGATCAACAGAGAAGTGAGCAAACATTCCCACATTTTCCAAGGGGGAAGAGCACATGTTCAGTGTGACACCAGCCTGGATCAACAATGTGTCCGGAAAGCCTTTCCTAAGACAGCAAGTCCCACGCCCAGCTGCAGCCACTCCAGCCGGCAGCCACGAAAGGGCGGCTCCGCAGGCGGCTCCGCAGGCGGCTCCGCAGGCAGCCAGCAGTTCAGGCGCCCAGTAGCTGCTGGGTATCACAGACAGCACTTGCATCACTGCAGAAAGCTCTATGGATTAGAGTGGCTTTTTGCTTCGTGCTCCTAGAATACTCATTTTTTCTTGTATGCCTTTTTTAAGTAAAACGTAGTGTCAGGGCTGGTGTTGTAGCACAGTTGATGAAGCTGCCACCTGCGGCACTGGCATCCCACACTGGAGCACTGGCTCAAGTCCCACCTGCTCCATTTTCCATCCAGCTCCCTGCTAACGCACTTGCACAAGCAGCAAACGATGGCCCGAGTGCTTGGGCCCCTATCACCCACATGGAGGACCCAGGTGGAGTTCCTGGCTTCTGGCTTCACCTTGGCCCAGCCCCAGCTGTTGCAGCCATTTAGGCAGCGAACCAGTGGATGGAAAATGGATCTCTCTCTCCCTCTAACTGCCTTTCAAATAAATCATGTTAAAAATATTGAGTTACTATAAATGATGACTACTGAACCTGTGGGAATAGTTTATCTAAACAAACAAGTTAGCTGTCATTTCTGAGCTCTGTGAGATGTATAAATACATCTAATTAAGTACCACCAGAAAGTGTGAAACAGAATAGTTAAGACTTAGGGTATTTTTCTGTATTTAAAAATGATATTCTCAAGGCCAGCACGTCCATATGGGATGCTGACACTACAGCACTCTGCCTGTAGTGTCAGCATCCCATATGGACATCGGTTCTAGTCCCAGCTGCTCCACTTCTGATCCAGCTCCCTGCTGTGGCCTGGGAAAGCAGTAGAAGATGGCCCAAGTCCTTGGGCCCCTGCACCCACGTGGGAGACCTGGAAGAAGCTCCTGGCACCTGACCTTAGGTAGGCTCATCTTCAGCCACTGCGGCCATCTGGGGAGAGAACCAGTAGATAGAAGACCTTTCTGTCTTTCCCTCTCTCTGTCTTTACTTCTCAATAAATAAAATTTTAAAAACAAAAAAACAAAAAAAACAAAAAAAAACAAAAAAAAAACACCTGATATTCTCATATAAGCTTTGTATTCTAAACATAACCATAGTGAATCTTCAAAACATCCAGTAAATACTCAAACATTCACTTACGCCCACCAGGCCACCACTTAATGGAGGTGACAGTAGGACTATTCATAATGAACTCTTGGGTTTGAGGGTCATATGTGGCTGTGGTTTCCAGGCCTCGAAGATGAGTTCCTAAGGAAATAAATGACATTTACTTCAGATAAAGTATGGGCAAAAATAAGAAGAGAGTATAATTTCCCACCCAGTCTTTAGACTAATATCTCACAGAAAAAAACCTAAGAACACCACATTTGTAGATGAGCTACAAATGGCTGTTAACCAAGATGTTTCCTTTCCTAGCCTACCAGAGAGTTTCCTATTAGGCTGAAGATAATAAGGTCATGCACGGTCCATTTCTACAGTTTACAGATTTGTTTCGATCAACTGAAAGAAGCTACAAAGGCAACTCAGAATCATATTTTAAGATCATGATACACGAATTTAACAGAGGAGTTTGCTATCCTTTGAAATTCATGTCTAAGTTGCAGCTATACCAATTTCAACTCCTGTGTATGATATTTACCATACCAGTTCCGCTTTCTGGAAAAACTAGCCTGTGTGACAGGAAGAGGCTTCAGCTAACGTTCTTGTGAATTAAGAACTTCTTTCAGAATGATTGCTAGAATGGAAAATAAGAATTTTAAAAAGGTATTATCCTTACGGGGGTGGGGAAAAGACCTGGAATAGTGACTTTTTTTGGAGAGGCCTAGACATTTTTTATTTTTGTTCTCAGGATGGAAGATGACCCTACAGAGCCACCTCTCCAGAATAGTGACTTTTTTTTTTTTTTTAAGTTTTTTTTTTTTTTTTTTGATAGGCAGAGTGGACAGTGAGAAAGAGAGAGACAGAGAGAGAAAGGTCTTCCTTTGCCGTTGATTCACCCTCCAATGGCCGCCGCTGCAGCCGGCGCACCGCGATCTGATGGCAGGAGCCAGGATCCAGGTGCTTCTCCTGGTCTCCCATGGGGTGCAGGGCCCAAGCACCTGGGCCATCCTCCACTGCACTCCCTGGCCATAGCAGAGAGCTGGCCTGGAAGAGGGGCAACCGGGACAGGATCCGGCGCCCCAACCGGGACTAGAACCCGGTGTGCCGGCGCCGCAAGGTGGAGGATTAGCCTATTGAGCCACGGCGCCGGCTCGAGAATAGTAACTTTTAACCATTTCTACAAGTCCAACAATGAGGCCCGAGTTCCCCTAGACTTGCAGGGCCAGGCCTTCACTTAGTCCCAATCAGTTCATCAGTGAGATGAGGGAGACTACCAGTTTCATATGCTTACCAGAGATGGATGGGGATTTGCTTTAAATCCTAACACAGATATGCCAACATCATTGAAAAGAATTCTAGAGAAACGTTCCAGGTGGCACCCTCTCTATTAATACTATACTGAAGCAAATGCTAAGAACCTTTTACCAGATTACTCTGGTAAAACCAGAACTCATTAAACACTGAAGAAACACAGAGAAACTTCCACGTGGAATAGCAGAAACGGCCAGCTTGTGTTTGACCCGCAGCCCTCCCAAGTGGGAGTCAAGAAACCAGGCACTTAAGATTCCTTCCACTAAAAAGACACTTTTACAGAAAAAAGATAACATACCAAGTAGAACAGATAAGGATAAAATGTTTTCAAATGCACAATTCTTCTACGTTGAGTCCTGTGAAAGCTCTGTACAACAGTACTCAGCACTGAATACGAGGCAACTGTACAGAAATGAGAGCAACTGGCGAATGTAAGTGTAGTCTTCCTGACACTTAGGAGCCCAAAAGAGAGGCAGAAGCAAACAAACGGCAGAGACCAAGTCCAAAGAGATGATGAGAGCAACAGCCACCACCTCCAGTGTTCCTGGAGTTTGTAAGAAAGACAGTGGGGTGTGGTAAGAAAAGGAAGTAGGTACAGAGTTTGAAACCAATGGCCTGGAAGGATGACTTGTCTTAATTTTTCTAACCTCTGGACAAGCCACCTTCAGAAATTCCTGGTTTTACTGAAGGTACAAATAACCTCAAGGAATAAAATGTTGCACATTTTGGTTCTAACAACTATTTTCCCTTAAGGAAGTCTTTACTTAAGCAAGTCAAAAAACACACTACCAATCTGTATTTCTTCTAGAATTTGTCAGAGCACACTGAGGTCTCCGTAGTCAAGGTAGTCAGACAGCAACAATGGACAGACTGAGAGGTTCAGGCCTCATGTGCATAGATTTGAAAAACCACTTAGTCAGCAAGGCCTGATTTCTGAGGGAAGCCATGAAAAACATAACCAGCCTACCATAGGGTGACACAGCCTTTCATGTCCACTGATCAGTGTCTATGCACCTACTTGGACTCTGAAGAGAGAGGTCATTTAAACACACTGCCATGCCACTGCTAGCACACGGTGGGCGCGGCACACATGCCAAGCTCACAGGGGCCCGCCCAACCCAGAAGGTAGACTGAATACACTGTACCATGACCCATCTCTGTCTGGGCATAAGTGCCAGTGATCTCCAGGTTCCAGGCGGGCATGAAGAAGCGCTCCTGCTGCTCTGCGGTGGCCTGGTGGAGCAAGGTGGGCAGGAACATGCCCAAGTGCAGATCCAGAGGCTCAGGCCGCCCTCGGTGCACAAAGCTTCGGAGAACACCCAGGGTGGGCGTGTGGGTGAGCGTCATCAGGTGAGAGAGTTGCATTTGGACAGACAGAGCGAGGGAAGGACAAAAAACCTCTGTGAGTATGATTGGCCGTGTGCATTTCATCAGGGGCGGAGCACTGCCCTTTCTGTATTACTTCATATGGCTTGGCAAGTTCCACTGCTCGTAAGTTGGCAGGGGGATGGCAGATGGCTACCGACTGCAAAGCCGATACTGCACGAAACCACCCAAATCTGGAAAGGCTGCGTGGCTGGAGAATTTGCGTGGTACAAAACTCTCTCTGAAGAGAAGGTGAGGCACAGTCGTTCTCCGAGGGACAGTGGGGAACCCCCAGACTGAGTTTTATTTCCCCCCGAGATGCCAGTCTCAGTGATCCTTCCAGGCTGGGATACTTTGTTCTGTCCACACAGCGTCCAGCCTCGATCTGTATTCCTCACAGAACTGTGATCACGTCATTCAAATTTATTGCCTCAACTCTTCAGCCATGTTCTATTGAAGAAATTTAATACAAAAATCGACAGTGCTCTTCATCCCAGTAATTTCAGAAATTAACGACATGCAATTTCTAGTGAGGACCATAATAACACAAGTCAAGGTTCATGCATAACCAGCTCTTCATTTAATCACACAGGCATTACCACTGAGGAGAATAAAGCTCTTGGTTCTAGTAACTTCAAATCCACTTTGTGGAGTCATTCTTTCAGAAACAGTTCTTTACACCTTTGTATTTTTCCACATTCCTATTTTTCACTGTTTAATTTCCAGCTCCAAATTATCAACTCTATATTGTTCTTATTATTGTATTTAATTATCTCAGAAATGCGCCTAAACAACACTCCACTTTTTAAATTTCTCTAACTTTTTGTTCTATATAAGGGCCACAACGACCAGGGTGCACTGCTCTGGCAAGAACTGACCAATTTCATCCAACTGAGTGCTTGTATTTTCAGCTAACAATCATGTAAAAATTGAAGAAGATGCAACCGAACCCCTTGGTGTAGGGAGGAGAAATTAAGGCTGAGATGAATTAAGTGCCTTGTTCAAGTCGGCAAAACCAGAGCAAGAACCTCATCACCTCTGATCCTGTCTGCCAGATGGGAAACTATGGTTCAAACTCAGCGTGGCCGATGACCAGGGAGAAAGCACTAAAAAGACACAAAACCCAGAGCTGTCTTTGGCAGCATCAAGAGTGGAAGTCCCTTGGTCAGCGCTGCGGCTCACTAGGCTAATCCTCCACTTTGCAGCGCTGGCACACCAGGTTCTAGTCCCGGTCGGGGCACTGGATTCTGTCCCGGTTGCCCCTCTTCCAGGCCAGCTCTCTGCTGTGGCCCGGGAGTGCAGTGGAGGATGGCCCAAGTGCTTGGGCCCTGCACCCCATGGGAGACCAGGAGAAGCACCTGGCTCCTGGCTTCAGATCAGTGCGCTGCGCCGGCTGCAGCGCGCCGGCCGCGGCGGCCATTGGAGGGTGAACCAACAGCAAAAGGAAGACCTTTTTCTCTGTCTCTCTCTCACTGTCCACTCTGCCTGTCAAAAAAAAAAAAAAAAAAGAGTGGAAGTCCCACAAAAGGCACCCACAACCACTCTTGTACACTTGGCCCAGGATTCACAGGGACCCTATGTACTAGTTTTTCAACTTCCTATAAATCTACAATCATTTAAAAACAAAACAAAATTCATGTATGACAGTGCCTTTTACTCACAAAACCAGAATGTCAACTGTGCCAGCTTTCAAAAAAAATCTCAGCCTTAGAAGAAAAATAAAGTCATGCTTAGGACCTAAGAGAACACTCTGCATGGAGACTGACACCTGGGAGCGCCCGTCTCAGCACTTTTGTGAAAGGCTGTTCCGCACTCCTCGGACCCAGGGCAATGCCAGGGGAGAGGCCACTGGGAGGCACCCATCAGCCCCGGGAAGGCCTGGGTCTGTGTGGAGCTGCTAAGACTGATATGGGGCCGGCGCCGCGGCTCACAAGGCTAATCCTCCACCTTGCGGCGCCGGCACACCGGGTTCTAGTCCCGGTCGGGGCGCCGGATTCTGTCCCGGTTGCCCCTCTTCCAGGCCAGCTCTCTGCTGTGGCCCGGGAGTGCAGTGGAGGATGGCCCAAGTGCTTGGGCCCTGCACCCCATGGGAGACCAGGAGAAGCACCTGGCTCCTCGCTTCGGATCAGCGCGGTGCGCCGGCCATTGGAGGGTGAACCAACGGCAAAAGGAAGACCTTTCTCTCTGTCTCTCTCTCACTGTCCACTCGGCCTGTCAAAAAAAAAAAAAAGACTGATATGGAATACGAAGGGTTATCACAAAATACAACTAGTAATAAAAGGAGTAAAGCTACAGCAAACCAGAAACCGCTGAGACTGAAGAACGCTTTCAGGAGAAAAATGTGGCTTGTGAGTAAATAAGGATCATTCAGAAGTGCATGACATTCTGACATGTTACCAAACAGTGACAGCTTCCTGATTTAAACCAAGTCTTTGGTGCAAACAGTTGGTCATGCATGAAAAGATTGCATTTTACTTTAAATAACTTATTGTAAAATTACAAAGCATCGACATTGTACTTGGCAAAGCACCAGTCAGTTCTCTTAAAATCCCAGCATCAAAGGGCTTCCCCAGCCTCTCCTTCCACATGACACAGGGCTAGCAAACCAATATTGTGAAATGAATAAATTAATAACACACAACAAAGGAGAAAGAAAAATAGCACCTCTGTGGGCAGCATGATCATATCCTAGGAAATCAAAAATAACAACAAAATATCAAAAATAATAAATGAATTGAGAAAAGCTGCAGGCTGTAAGGGAAAAAAAATCAACTGCATTTTTATCAGGATCATTCAAATACAAACTCCACTAGAGGGAAAGACAATCTACAGTAGTCATGAAATATTTAGGGGTCAGCGCTGTGGCCTAGTGGGTAAATCCACTGTCTGTGGTGCCAGCATCTCATCTGGGCACCAGATCAAGTCCTGGCTGCTCCACTTCCACTCCAGCTCCCTGCAAATGCGCCTGGAAAAGCAGTAGAAGGGGCCTACGTGCTTGGGCCCTGCACCCACGTGGGAGACCTGGCAGAAGTTCCTGGCTCATGGCTTCACATCAGCCCAGCTCTGGCCATTGCGGCCATCTGGGAAGTCAATTAGCGGATGGAAGACCTCTGTCTCTCCCTCTCTCTCTCTGTAAATATGCCCTTCAAATAAATAAATCTTTTTTTAAAAAAAGTAATAAAATATTTGAAAACTACTAAGTGGGGCCAGTGCTGTGGTGCAGAGGACGCCTGAGACGCCGCGCCCGGAATGGCAGCGCCGGTCCAAGTCCCAGCTGCTTGCTCCCCCCAGCTCCCTGCTAATGCACTCCACCACTGCCACTCAAATGGAAGACCCGGATGGAGCTCCCAGCTCCTAGCTTCAGGCTGGCCCAGCCCTGGTGGCTACTGTGGCCATCTGCAGAGCGAACCCGCAGACGGAAGATCTCTCTCTCTGCCTTGCAAATAAGTACATAAATAAATCTTTAAAATAAAGCATGTTAAGTAACTCCTCAGGATATTAAAAACTTATTTACAAAACATGAATAACCTAATAGAATGTATGAAAGAAGATATGAGTACAAGGAAAAGAAACAACTAATTCCTGGCTGAGGGACTGAAGAGAGGGAACGTTTCCCGAGAAAATACAAGACTTCCACATAAAGGCTGCTGAAGGCTTCCGTATGTTTTAGAACTTGACAAACTGAGATCAAGAATTCACCTAGAATATCAAATATACAGACAGCTTGAAATATAACAATAGGCCTATCCTGTCAGATTTTGAAGTACACAAAGCAATTTTTATGTTAGAAAAGAAACAAACAGAAATAAATTTAATCTGTTATAAAACCCCAAGAAAAACCAGCAAGAGCCTAACAGGAAAGAATCACTAGTCAATGAACACCGGAAATCTAGAAAGCCAAATGAGATTCATTCTCACTCCATATCCTACACAAGTCAAAACAATAAACACAGACCAAGAAAACACGCTTCCCAAGCTACAGGAGGGAGAATGTGCACCTATCCAGAGAAGCATCCGTTGATCCAGAAGGCCAAAATGTTTAATAAGGCAGAAAGCAATGGAAAAAGATTACACGTGTACAATGCTATCACATCATGAGGCATATTCTACTTCAGCAAAGATTTCATTTTATGCACAGAAGATGCAAGGAGTAAATCAAACTTACTAGCAATGGAAAAGTAAAACTTACTCTCAGACATCTACTAAAGTGGCAAAAATAAAGTGACTGTGTTGATGGAGCTGTAGAGACACAGCTACATTAGTAACTTGCTAAATATATTATAAGCTGGCTTTGTGTTTCAGGGAAAGCCTCAAATTATACAACCAGACCTATAAAATATTCATTTCCTTCAATGCAGTAATTCATTTCTGAGAGATATTCTATTCTAAAGTCACAACCCCAAAGAATTTCTTGAGAAGTTTATACTATTATCAACAATAGTGTGAAAATCAGAGGACTGGCGCTGTGGCATAGGGGGTAAAGCCATCGCCCACAGTACCGGCATCCCATATGGGCACTGGTTCAAGTCCTGGCTGCTCCACTTCCAATCCAGCTCCCTGCTAATGCACCTGGGAAAGCACCGGAAGATGGTCCAAGTGCTTGGTCTCCACGTAGGAGACCCAGAAGAAGCTTCTGGCTCCTGGCTTCAGACAGGGCCAGCTTTGGCTGTTGCAGCCTTTTGGGAAGTGAACCAGTAGATGAAAGACCTCTCTCTTACTGCCGGCGCCGTGGCTCAATAGGCTAATCCTCCGCCTTGCGGCACTGGCACACCGGGTTCTAGTCCCAGTCGGGGCACTGGATTCTGTCCCGGTTGCCCCTCTTCCAGGCCAGCTCTCTGCTGTGGCCCGGGAGTGCAGTGGAGGATGGCCCAGGTGCTTGGGCCCTGCACCCCATGGGAGACCAGGAGAAGCACCTGGCTCCTGGCTCCTGCCTTCGGATCA